CTTTTTAATAGCCAACTTTGCTCGATCCATTGCTTCATATATAAAATCCATTGTAGGTTTCTCATCTCCATCTACTAACCTTAACACCTTAACCAATGACTCTTGAACAATCAGAACTTCATTACCTCTCTTCTAAAAGTCTTTGCCCATAATCAAATTTTTTACATCACTAGGAGGGCCGGTTTTCATCTTCCCAAAACTAGTTGCCTTTTAGTCATCAGAAGTGAACAGAGCCTTTAGGTTATCTTTCTGCCTAATGATGCTCTCAAGTGCAATGAAATTTGTGGCAAATCTGGTAATTGAATGGCGTAACAATTCTTTACCATTTGTATATTTTTTTATCAAATGGTATACCCTTGAATAATTGTAAATGAAGCTTGTGATAGACTTTGCATCATCTAGAACCTTTGCAACATATTTTTTTTTTTGAAATGTTCTCAAGTATAAGATCAATACAATGTGCTGCACACGCTGTCCAATACAAATATGGTCTTTTCTCCATCAACTTCTTTCCAGCAGCCTTAAGAGCTGCTTCATTGTTAGTCACTATCTGGACAACATATTCTTGTCCAATCTCTTCAACAACCATATTTAATAAACGAAAATAATAATCTGAAGTCCTACTTGCTACATTAGATACATCAATAGACTTATGAAAAATTGTACCTTTATTACAATATATCAAGAAGTTGACAGTGTGATCTCGTGTTTGACCAGTCCATCCATCACACATGATAGTAACTCCCCTCTCTTTCCATGTTGGTCGAAAAGACTTAATCCACTCCTTCATTGCATTAGCTTCTTTATTCAAATATATCTCAGACACCTCATAAGAATTTGGACCTTTAACCCCTTTTCCTACTTCAGCAGCAACATCAAGCATTGGTTGAGTCCAAGGAGAGTCTGCTACATGAAAAGACAAATGGTTATATAACATGAATTTGGAAAACATATCTCCTAACCTTTCCCTTCTAATCTTTTGGTGATTTGAATTTATCTTTGGTTGCTTAGAACTTTTATTTCTTAGAAGATCAGGATCCATCTCCCTTAATCTAGCTTCAGGAATATCATAATTAATCAAATGCCGAGCACTACCATCAACATCCTGCTCACGAACTGAATGAGATCGTCTTAACCTACTTCCATCTTTACCTCTAAAATTACCCCCACCTCCGGAACTACCTCCTACGTTATACTGTGGCACATGTACACTTCTACATCTGTGACTTTCTTTAAATTGATATTGTGCCACACTTTCTCTTCTCGCGAACGCCATCTCTGGATCAGAATCTGAATCATCACCCAAGTCCACATACTTAGGATCCCCAACCACTGTCTCCTTCAGATGGAATTCCAATTCTTCCTTCCTCTTTTGTTTATCTTTTCTTTTATCTTTACTTTCTTGAAGATGTTTTATCATCTGTTCTCTGACTTCTTGTGGCACGTCTGGGCACGATGTTACATTGCCTCTTTTTCATGCCAAATGCTTTTTCACTCGTATAATACCACCTTTAATGATTTTTTTACAAAATATACATATTGCATCATGTCTATTGGTAGCCATTGTCGCAAAGTTCCAACCGATATCATCATTGGGATTACTTTGTGAACCTTCTTCTGGGCCATGTCGGGGTATTTTCAATTCTGTCACAAAAAAAAAATATACGTCATGTCGGAATAATAACTCAATATATTAAATGGATTAAAAGATTAATTTATATGTTCTATCTACTCCAAATAAAATTAGTGAATGGTAAGACACGCATTGACACATATATAGAAATATTTAAAATTGATTCGATTATTAAATAAGCATAATAAATAGTCTAGACTAATATTTAATACTTAGAACATAATAATTATTTTTTTCGTGGGTTTTGATAAGAACATGACAAGATTAACATTCTTAATTGTGATACCTATTTAAACTCTATTAAATAATTAATAAACTTTATTAGAACACAATAATTATTTGATTGTGGTTAAGGATGTCAAATTTGACCAGTTGATATGAACCCGACACAAACAATTATAAAATTGATTCGATTATTAAATAAGCATAATAAATAGTCTAGACTAATATTTAATACTTAGAACACAATAATTATTTTTTTTCATGGGTCTTGATACGAACATGACAAGATTAACATTTTTAATTGTGATACATATTTAAAATCTATTAAAATAATTAATAAACTTTATTAAAAATTTTAATTAAACACATGTTTAATTTGATCAAAAATATATCTCAAATATAACATTATAATATTTAAATGGATAAGACAACACTACATTTTTTTTAAAAAAAAAAAAAAAGAGAGAGAGAGAGTCGGTGGCTGAAATCTATAGGATAAATAGATCTTAAAAAGTTAAAAAAGAAAAAAAGAAAAAAAAGGGGGCAGTAGTTGATATGCACAATGCATAGATAAGTAGAGTTTAAAAAGTAAAAAAAAAAATAAAAATTCAGTGGCTGATGGCTGAACACCACACATGTTATATCCTCACAACCACCAAAAAAAAAAAATAAATAAGAAGAAGAGAAAGGCGGACCAGGCGGGTGACTGGATTGGAGTGTTTACCAGAGAAGTGAGGAATTCGAATGGAGCACTGCAGTCAAAATCCACTCGTCTTCGATCATCCGAAACAAGCAGCGACCACACCAAGAAACGATCAAACATTGGAGAGCTCAGATCTGATCATTGGTCAAACAGTCAGAGTTCGAGTTCAGCTCTTTCGAGCAGAGGAGGAAATAGTTTCGAAAACCACTTCAAGAAAGTTAGATCTGGATATATAGGTGCGTTTTTAAGTGATTATTTGAAAGATTTTTTAGATCTAAACCATGTATTTGAGATTTGAGTGAATGAAGGAAGATGAGAGATGGAGGTTGAATTTGGGTTTTGGATGAAATAAATTTTTGGGGCTGAAATTTGGGTTTTATACTCAAATCATTTTTTTTGAATCGTAACGGGTCAAAACGGCCATTACGTTCGTTACGGGAGCCGTTACGAGGCCGTTACGGAGCCGTAACGGTCGTTACGTCTGTGAAATTTATTCCTTCTGTTATATCGGACTATAACGGGGTTGGTACCTGCCGTTACTATTACGTAACGGTTGTTACGCGCTGTAACGGTCCGTTAGTAACGGCTGTTACGCGCCGTAACGGTCGGTCGATTTTCAAAACCCTATAATGAACACTTTAAAAAAAAAGAAAGAGGAAAAGTTCGTTACTTTAATTTTGATTCGACGTGCTTTGACGATGTGGCAAGGGCAACGTCCACAGCATCCTGAAATCCATAACTAGTAGAATTGGGGTGCATGTAGGTCAATGATGGAATCAAATGTATAATTTTCCTTCACATCCTCTCTATTGTGCCTATCGGAATCTTCACTAAATGATCTTCTATTCGTTAGTTCACATCTCTCTCTCCATTTGTGAATACCGATCGAGTATGAATTGGGATCAACAGGAAGATACTACGCAGACTGTAAATATGTAGTATGTGGCGAAAAAAACATTGGAATACAACTAGCGATAAGAGAGTCGAATGTAGAACATCGAGTGAACATGTCTCCTAAAGGTTGCAAGCAGAAATGTCGGAACTTCATTTGGCATGTGACATTTACTTGATCCATGACCACATGTCACAAGCAAACACCGAGTCGATTCACCACATTGTTTGAGGATCTCATCTCGGATTGCTGCCTTCTTTACCCCTGTTCGTGGGGCTCCGATGAATGAAAAAGGGTACGGCCGTTCTATTTGACACATCCTTTCTTGCTATTTCAACATTTCACCCATTGTAGATGGATGGGAAATAGGATGCATAGGGAATACCATGGTGGTTTGGCCCTTGCCAAGGGTTCCTTTCTACAATAAGCACCGACATGTTTTGTACTGGTGGCCCTGGTTGCGCCAAATTCAACTCCACCATCAGTCCTTCCAACAACCAAGAAATGGTCGATTCCATTACTTCTTTGCCACCATGGTTGTTTACGAATATATTCAGACAATTCGAGGGCTAAGGTTGCATACCTCATGATTAGGCTCAAGGAACTTCCATGAAACATGGAGGCCACCATAGGATGGGGCATAGAACAAGTCAGCTTTTTTGGGGGTCCCACGTGCGACAATGGTGGTTTTCCATGCGAGCGTGGAAGATCCGTGTATTGGCGGGTGGCGAACCAACTGTTTGATCCCATTTTCGGGAGGGGTTGGCGTTGGCCTAGTCCGTAGTTTGTTACGTGTGGGCACATGTTAGTGTATACGTTCAAATGCTGGCACTGGCAGAGTCAGAGGAGGTCGAGGTTGAATTTCTCCGGCATTTCGTACACAAATACATTGCTTTTGAAATGAGGAAGTGCTGAACTGAGAGAGGGGTTACCTTGGGAATCTTGAAATGAATTTGGTTTCGCCAGGGAGAAACCAGAGCGTCAAGAAGGTGACTAAAAACACACACAATCTCATTTGGAGGGAAGGTCGTTTTATATCTTGGGAGAGAGCAGCAATCACTTACCAAGGGATCTAAATTCAATCCATTGGTAATGTGTGGTGGATGGGTTTTCCTCGGTTTATCACCATTTTTCTATTCTTTTTCCTCCGTTTATCACCCTACCATATAATATTGTGGGACTCACTTGTAATCAAATCAAGAATCTTACTTGAATTCAATTCCGTTCGATTAAGGAGAAAAATAAAAATAAAACGTATTAATGGAGGGCAATTCCCTTATTAGAGTTTCACTGTAGAACTCCTTGGCAAAGATACCATGAAGAGAGAGTCCGTGATGCCATAAATTTCATTGATGTGCCCTGCCTTTTTCTGCTTTGTTTCAAGGTTAAAACAGAAGGGCTTAAAAAGTTAAGCGCAGTGTTCAGAGATGGTGACAAATATTATCAGATTACTTTCTTTAGATTGTACCATATATTGTTGACTACATACAAATGATGTCCTTACCAAAAGAATTTATCACAAAATTTACTAAATGAATATAAGTTGTTGGATAGTAGGTCCAAAAAAGAAAAAAAATTAATAATAGTAGGTCCCACTGATACAACTGCTATAAAAACTTATATATTGTGAATATTTCTTTCAATATGTCAACATAAAATACAACCTTTAAACAATAGAATGACAACTTAAATTACAAAGAACAAGATGAATAGTCATAAAATAATCTAACACGTGAACAATAGATAAAATAAAGGTAATAATACGAACTAAGATAATTAGCACTTTTAATAATCTAGCATATAACAGTAGCTAATATGTACCGGTATGTGTTTAGTAGTAGTAGAATGCGCAGAATCTATATTATGAATAGAAACTATTAACACCTATAAAACCTAGCATGAGGACAATAGCTAAATTGGTAGAACCATAGCTTGTGGTTATAGTTAAATAAAGTAGAATACCTGTATATCTATATACATAGAAAAGTCAACAAATAATATAAATCTTGATAAAATAGAATGTATAATATATATACTAATTGTTGCACACATGCATTGCATGTGAAGTATTTTAAAAAAAATAAGTTAATTTAAGAGGACACAATATGCAATACAGAGTCATCAAATATTGAAACAGTCCAAGCATTACTCATCGTATAAATACGAAAGGGCAAACGATTAAACATATTAAAAAAAAAAGGGACATTGTACAAGAAAAATTCAGAATTAAACATAGCATCTCTAATTATTCCGACAAGGAAAGTTACCTACACTTATAATTTGGAAACACAACACACATCAATACAACGTGTAGAAGGACAAAGATTATTATCCATAATTGTTAAGATTACCCAAGGCACTAACTCTACTGTGAGGTGTATTATATTGGTAGCCAAGAGCATTCAGCCTCTATGACAATTACTATGTAGAATACATGAAATATATGTTTGAAAAATTTCATGTCCTGTGCTTGCCCTCTAAAGGGGTTATATTTTCACGAAAGTTTCTAAGTGTAAGAGAAAAATATAGTGTAGTAACTCGAACAAAAATTCCAAGATTGTCTCCTTAAGAAAAGAGTTGGAATCCAAGGTGATAAAAATAAAAGGAAAAAACTCTTTGAAGTTGAGAATTTTGAGAGTTAACTACTAACAAAATTCAAATTCAATAAATGAAAAACTAGATAGTCTTCAGAATTCCTCCCACTTACGAATAAGAGTTTCTATCCTAAATCTATAACTCATCTGCTTTCGTATTCAAACTACTACAGACGGATGATTTTCAACTAAAAAGTTTGAAAGAACTAATATAACAATTAAAAGATAGTTTATGGTAGAAGAATCAATATCCTAAACGTCGTAGAAAATACCACTAATTATCTATACCAAAACTAATTGTACACAAATAATCGGGAAGTACACAAACCAATTTGGTTTCCGAAAACATCACCTATTCAATCAATCACATAAATATTAAAACCATACTTTAAAGCACACACCTTACTTCATAGGTTGAGACTCCTTCACCAGATTATCCAGAGGAAGACTACTCACTTATGATAACAAAAATTACACAAAACATTAAAAGAAAATAATTGAATTCAAAAAGGTAAATATGGAATTGAAACTAATCACTTGTATTAAAAAACTGAATGCAAATAACAAGGTTTTGAAAGTAAAGACAACTGAATGTAAATATTATTTGAACAAATAAAAGAATTGAACTTAAAAGAAAAATAATGCAAAACTCTGTAAAATAACCCTAAAAATCTCTAACAGGAAAAGTAGAAGAAAAACTCCTAAACGTGTTCTACAGCCAAATTCTCTCTCGAATTCTCCAAAGGGTCTTTATTTATTTTAGCTGGAAAGAGAATTTTCAGATCTTTGAACATATATTCTGTGACACCCCAATTTCGAGGGTACTTTCTCAAACCGTTGATAACCCATCAACCCATGGAAGTATACCCGTGAATACCACATATCCTGATACCACATCGTTACACCCCATTCACCGGGATCATAACCAAAACAAAAATTGGGCAGAGTCTTCCTTGTACCAGAGCACTACCCAACGCATAACTTGTACACATGATCATTCCAAGGTCTAAACCCTGGTAATTCGGACTTTTTATTATCCATGTACATCGTCCGTAGGGGTTGTTCAAAGAATGAATACCCCTTAGTGTTACATTTTAAAATTTTCAAATTCTGGGACGAGTTATCGGTACCTTCGATACATGGTACTAGTACCTAGGTCTTCTGTTTGCTAGGTACCGGTCCATATATACACTGGTATCGGTACCTGAGCCCATTGTTTTCAAGGTACTGGTATCTGAACCCACTGTCCATTGGAGTACCGGTATTTGAGCCTACTAGAATCTAGGTGCTGGTACTCTTAAGTCTAGGTACAGGTACCTGGGCCATCCGACAGCGTAGTACCAATACTTGAGCATAGATTTTTCTCAAATCTTTCCAATCTTCAACCTTTAACTATCCAATCACTTCCCATATTCATCCATTCATTCATTTACACAAATCATAGTCCGTAAGAGTTCATTACATAACCCTTTATACAATTTTACAAGTCCAATATAAATTACATAATGGATTACAAAATGCAATTTAAAAGTCACATCCCAGCCTCATCATCAACAAGGGCCCAAGTGAGGGCTGTCCACTAGCGCTTGTCTAGCACTTGGAATATGTCCCCATAAAGGGTGAACTACGCTCAATAGGGTATCTCCTAAGGAGGCTACTCCCCAACCCAAATGCATATATAATATTCACATGGAATTCATCAATTAACTATCCATCAAAGAATATACAATTCATAAATGAATGCCACAATATCATGCCATATCATGAGATGAAACTCATACATGCAATACAACTAGAGCTCTTCACCAGCTCCCATAACATATGTAATGTCATGCGTATGTATCCAAGCATTCCAAGCCCCCACCATTGATGTTACACATCCAATGACTATTTATAAATCGCAGGTCTTTCTTAGGGTGAGTATTTATGGACTTCCACCAACGGGTATCCAACCGACACGACATCTATGGACTTCTACCAATGGGAGTGTATATCCAAAGTTACCGGATCTTACACCCGAGGGAGAATCTAGCTCTTTTTGTTAACCCTAACCTTTGTTTTCAATGCAACCTGTGCGACTCAGTCGAACCTAGACCCAACTTTTCCTAGCTCACGTATCAACCCACCAAGGATGGTGTTTGATCAAAACCATGCACACACATCCACACTTATGTCAAATGCCCACGAATGTGATGCTACTCATACATATGCAAATGCTAGAAACAATTTCATTCTATATCACTATGCAATCAAGTTTTCAATTGCAATTACAATAGCATGTTCATCATATCATGAGTATAAAATGAACATATTCCATCTCCACAACCATTTCCAATTTATCAATGTGCATTATATCATAAACCATATAATTACATTTCACAATCCCCCAAAGCATGTTATATCATTTTCTATACACATAACACACTTAATCAACCGTAGGCATTTTATCAAATACCTACAAGGCACATAGATTATGTAAATAAATAGCATGCCCAAATTAACACATTTCTCATGAAATTCCAAATCATGCAATTTCATCAAACCCATTCATACAAGAATTGGTTTTAGCATTTTTTTTCTATACCCATTTTCTTATTCGAAAAATTCCTAGGTATGTTTTATACATGAGATTTCATTTCTAATATCTTACTCATTTCATATTTCAACTTTAGATTGGAAACAAACTTAGTTAGGAATGAAACCCTACCTCTTGTAGTGTAAATATACGTAGAAGAATTCCAAAAGACCTGAATCTAGCTTCCAAGCCTTGATTTTTCAAAATCTCACCTTTGAGATTGTGGCGAAACCAGCAATCCTTGGTACATACATGTAGCTCTCGTCACGTAGAACAACTTTATCTCTTGGCTTAAAGAAATCTAACGTAGCCATCATCACGTAGAACAATTTAATTTTTTGGGTTTTATATATTCATCCCAAAATTATCTCTTTCTTTGATTAGTTGAGAATCCCCAAAAGATATAGCGAGATCTAATCTTTAATTGAGCTTCACATGAAAATCTGCCTTGACCTAGTGGTTGAATAGTAAAACCTGCTAGTAGCAACTCTCTCTATAACACGATCTAACGGTAGAACATCCTTTACCTACTGGTAGAACTTTGTCTAATAAAATCTCTGAAACTTTTATGGCTTTTCCTA